GTGCTATTTTCGTAATTGTCCCAAGGACGTTTCTATGATGTATAAATAAACGAGAGTTGTGTGCTTGATTGTACAGTGATTGCTGGTTGTTTGTAGAATATACTTTCTACGCTTACAAAGCTTTCTGTCTTCAGCTTGGGATTCAAGGTAGCCTATCTGGATTCTGGGTCATTGTCTGGTTCGCGTTTATCGACTAAGGTGAACTTGTAATAGCTTCAAGCGTACCTAGTGACGAACATAACACTAACATTGATACGTTTATGATTTTAATCAGAATAAACACGAAATAGGCGAATTTTGTTTTTGTAAAAAACATTTTGTTGATTTAAAAATAAAATAAAATTCACAGACTTTTTTCATAAAGAGAAAATAACAAAACACAATGAGTAGAGAACAAGTTTAGGGAAGTGATATATATATATATATATATATATATATATATATATATGTATATATATATATGCTTTTGATAATGATCAAAACATAGTTGACTTTCTCGTTAAATAAGAGATGAAAAGATTCGATTGTCATGTTCTGAAAATATTTTTTTTTAGTAGTTCGTGAGGGAAGTAATAACTGTGTTAAGCATTGAGTTTACTTGGTTGTCAAAATTTCTGAACATTGAAGTCGAGAATGCATCATTGTTAGACCACTATTAGATACCTGGACGGCTGCTTTGTCCTGGTTGGGGACTCATCAGTGGCAGTGTGCATTCACGACCCCCATCACTTGTGGGATTCGAACCTAGGACCTATGGTATTGCATGCGAATATCTAACCTCTGGATCACTGGACTGGCATCCAACGGAGTTAATGTCTAATTCTGATCAATCTAGGGATTCTGTGTGACCTCAGCCATTGTCTTCGGTATTTACTGCCCACACCCGACAGGGTTGAACCACTGATGTAGCCGCTAACTCCAAGCCTAACCCTCGTGCTTAATCCGGGCTTAAAGCCTGCAGTAAACCTGTAGGACCTCGAAGCGGAGTTAAATCACACATTTATTCATTGTTTAAACAAAAATCCAGAATAGAAACCAGTAATGCATAATATTTCACTCTGATAGCTTCATTATGATATTTTCAATGGATCGTCTGATTGAGACTTTGTGAAATAGAAGTGTTACATCCTAACACTTACCACTAAGTGACTAATGCGCAACAAAGAAAAAATAACTGGTGCTTTAGGCCATGAAGTAGGACTCCAGTACAAAGTAGCTCCGATCTTAAAGGAAGAGCATAAGAACAATGATCTCCAGTTTAAGATCTAAGATTCGTTACTTTATCTCGGAAATTCATTTGATGTATCCACTCAAGAAATACATCATATCACAGTAATCAGTGGAGATTAACAACCATACATGATGAATGATCTGAAAGTGGGAGACAGATGAATAATAAACTGTCAGTATCATGTGATGGAATGCTAGTATTATATATATATATATATATATATATATATATATATATATATATACTCAGTTCAAGGTATTTCTTTCTAGTTGCACCCGATTGTCATTCATTCTTCTCATTTTTTTCTCCGTTTCTCAGGGTGTTGTGTGTTTGGTGGTCTTGCTGTTTTCCGACAAGAGCCCCTCTGAAGCTGTAACGTTACTACTACTACCACTCACATTATTACTCTAACTACCATTACTACTACTACTACTACTACTACTACTACTACTACTACTACTACTACTACTACTACTACTACTACTACTACTACTACTACTACTACTACTACTACTACTACCACTACTACTACTACTACTACTACTACTACTACTACTACAACTACTCATACGACTACTACTACCACTACTCATACTACTCACACTACTACAACTACTCATACGACTACTACTACCACTACTCATACTACTCACACTACTACAACTACTCATACGACTACTACTACCACTACTCATACTACTTAAACTACTACTGCTCACACTACTACTACTGCTCATACTACTACTGGTCACTCTGTTACTACTACTACTACTACTACTCCGACTACTACTGATGATTATAACCACTAGAATAACGACTCATAAAGGAGTGTGGCAAGAATACACTGGTCCATAAAGTTTTGACTTATACTGATTTCATTTTATCTTTTTACTTAGCTCGCAACTTAAAAAATAACTCCATTCTCATGTATACTACATACCTAGAAAACAAAATAGTTGTATGCTTTTAAATGAAATCAGTTCGTAATTTTGTTCAGAGTCTATATTGATAACATAGTCTTCAACTAGCAATAACTTCGCCTCAGATAAAATTCATAGGCTACGGTACCGCCATTGGGGTACCCAACCTGTCATATGCTCTGATGGTGTGTTCTCATGACTTCCAGGGTTGCTTGATCAGCCAAGTTTGTTGGGACACAGTGCATGACGTGAGAGAGTTAGTTGTATCCCATACAACATGCATCCACTCCGTCTCATTATTGTTCTCATTTAAGAGATAATGAGTTGATCATACAATCTTGAATAGTTTTTTCAGTCTATTCATCTATTTCACTTAACTCTTACTAACCAGTTAGTTCACTAACACAAAACTATCCACTTGATAATCTTATCGTATAATTTTCTTCTCTATTGAATTTGCTTCATTCAATCTAGTCTACTGTGTTCTTCTTCTACTATTGTTACTAAGCTAAGAGTTGGGTAGACTGGGTGGAAAGGATTAAAAAAAAAATAATTTTTCATTTTCATTGACTTTCTCTTATCTCCCCCATAGTTCTCCCTTTTTTATTTTTACTCTTATTGTTATTATTATTATTATTATTATTATGATTTTTTAATAAAAACTACTTGACTTTCTCTCTGTACAATTGTTTATTCAATCAATGTTCAATTGTCATTTGTTATTTTAAAATTGTTTCATTTGGGGCATGAAAATTTAATTTTTCTTTCTTTCTTACTTGCTTGCTTGTTGGTTGGTTGGTTGGTTGTATGAACTTTGTGTTTTTTTATACTCAGATTGATTGGCATATATAATATATTTATTTATATAAATTCACGTGTTTACACTTTACTTCAAGTTTTGTTTAGTGATGCGTGAATAAGTGACAGATACTATTACTATTACTACTACTACTAACAATACTACTAACAAAACTACTCCTACAACTAGCATTGTTAGAACAATTAAGGAAGAAATTAGTATATTTTTACATTTCATTGAATTTGCGTGTCTCTCTCTCTTTCTCGCTCACTCCATTGTGAATAATAACACAATGGCAATGACGCCTAGATGATTCATAACCGATTTTTTGTGGCGCAAGGTAGTTTAGTTTTGTATATGAGTTTTCATTTGTTAAATGGATGACTGGATAAGTTAAAGTTTACAATGGTTTATTGTAACAAAATTGAGATCTGGTATTTTTGATATTTTCGTGGAAGGGGTGAGTAAGGGGTGAGTAAGGAATGAAAAGAAACTGAATGAGGATAGTATTTGGTTGTTTGAATCTTTCCCATTGATGCTGAAGAATGGAAGTGGCCAGTCTGACTTTGGCATATGTTTATGCGTCGTGTGGGGATTTGCCTCGATAGTGACTTTAGATTACTTGCGGACATTATTAAAAGTGGTTGGGAGAGGCTAGCGGTGGCTGAATATATATCCCCTCCGGAACTCGAACCAAGTACTGTTCGTTTTGAATGCTATGGCGTTATCCATTTAACTAGTGAGTTCAGTTAAATATTCCTTTGTGCAATGGGTATAAAGATTAATTCAGTTTGCAATATTTCGGACTATCATTACAGTGAAAATTTTCATAGTGGGATAACTGAAGCAAACGGTACTGTGTTTTAGAGTCCCAACATCAGTATCAACTCGTAGATGATGAGTCCTGATTAGGGCGAAACCTGTATTCTGTAATCGATTCAAATTAGGGAGTGACTATCAACTATAGGATAAACGGATATCTAGCTGATGAGTTTCAAAATAAAACGAGACGCTCATTTTGATCTATAAAAATGTTGATAGTTATATCATTTAAAAACAGAAGAATATCATTACCTACTTACTTACTCCTGTTACCTTCAATCAAGTATAGGCCACCGGCCACCATTCTCCAACCAACTCTGTCCTGAGACTTCCATTCTAGTTCTTTCCAACTGTTGGTCATACCTCTTCCTGTTTGCTAACAATTCTCGGCGTCATTTGGTTTTTGGCCTTCCACTTTTACTTTGACCTTGAGGATTCCAGGGGGGGGGGCTTGTCTTATGATGCAGTTAGCCGCTTCCTCATTGCATGTCCTATCCACTTCCATCGCTTCTTCCTCCACTGAAGTCTAGTTTATTCCCTGTCACATTAGGTTGTTACTGATGTTGTCTAGCCTACGGGTCCGTAGTATACTGTGTAGACAACTGTCAATAAATAGGAATATCATACCTAAATTATACATTTGAAATCATCAATCAATCATTGTTAGACCACCATTAAAAACCTAGAAGCACTGGATGGCCGTTTCGTCCTAGCATGGGACTCATCAGTAGCAGTGCGCATCCACGACTCCCGCTCCTCGTAGGATTCGAACCCGGGACCTTCAGTATTGTGCGCAGACGCCAAACCCCTGGACCATTGAGCTAGCAGGTATCCGACGGTGTTAATGTCTAACTCTGACTGATCTAGGAATTTTGCGCGACCTCACCCATTGGTCTTTGGTAGTTACTGCCTACATCCGATAGGGTTGGTCATATGATGAAAATTTCAAATTTTTTCAACATGAATGTAATTTCTTTCGGTTGATGTTGTTAAAAAAAACCCATCAAACTATCACTGTTTACTCATGTAATTGTTCTATCTAACAGTTCTATCTTTACAATAAAAAAATGGTATTTTTTCTTTTCAAAATTAAAATTTTTTATTTTTTTTTTTACATCAGATAACTTTTCATCACTGAAATTTGGAAATCGAAAACAAAGTGGGAAAAAAGAAACAGAATCAACCAATCAAATTTGTTTTGTCTAATTTTTTTCCTCAACCAAACATCATGTGGATTATTTTAGTACTGCTGAGAATTACTGTTTTCTTACTCAAATCAAATCAATTCCTGTCTGGGAATCCTCATTCTGTTGAATTGCAACAGCAGCAACCGCCCCCACAATTACCACAGTCAAAATGGAATATTTCTCACTATCAGACTGTTACCATTACAAATAATCTTGCTGATCAGCTAGTCATGACAGCTGAACATGTTGACGACGAGTTACGTCAAATCCATAGAATCAAACGATCTCAAACACAGACAAACAGTAATAATAATAATAATCATAAAGACTCTAATCATGCTGATCAGACCGCCGCTGATGATGATGATAGTTCTTCTAATCGTGGAGTTGATTCTAAGAGCAGTAATAATAATAATAACAATAATAATAATAATATTGTCAGTAATGTGAATAGAGAACATGTCAGCAAATCGAACCAAGCCATGCCCACATCCTCAATCTATCATCATCCTCAACCAATGATGATTGCAGAGAGTGTGTTAAATTCTATGGAACACGAAAAATTGCTTCGACCAGAGAAATGTATACCGATTGAAATACCATTATGTAAAAATATTGGTTATAATTTAACTTATATGCCAAATGCATTCAATCATGAAACACAAGAAGAAGCTGGTTTGGAAGTGAGTTATTATTTTAGTTTTTTAATTATGCTTAGTAGTGGTTCGATTGTGATAACAGTAATTAATGAAGAAGGGAAGTTTCGGAAGAGTTTATCTACTGATTTCATAGTTGATTAGATGAACTGATTTAAGCTAGACCTGTTGGGAGCACTGGACGACCGTCACCTCCTAGTGAGCATCGAAGCCATGACGTTCGATCTTGCTTGCAAACGTTTACGCTCTAGAACACTTAGTCGGTATGCGGAAAACCGACTAAGGCGATGATCAGAAAAGCATGAGCTGTATTTTTGAAGTTGAACAATATCCAGAACTCGAAACAACTGTCAACAAACACCAAAATCACGATTTTCAATACTTCTACTGTATGAGGCCAAAACTTGGAGAACTACCACAGACATCATCCAGAAGATATAAGTATTTATGAACAGTTGTCTACGCAAAATACTTTGGATCGGTTGTCCAGACAACAGCAACAACCTACTATGGGAAAGAACGAACCAGATTTCAGCGGAGGAATAAATCAGGAAGAAGCGTTGGAAGTGAATAGGACACATATTTTGGAAAGCGCCCAACTGTGTCACAAAACAAGCCTCCACTTGAAACCCTCAAGGTCAAAGAAAGAAAATTGGAAGGCCAAGGAATATATAACGCCGAGAAATGGGAACAGACATCACTAACGGAACAAAAAAGTCATCCATACTTACAAAATTTATACACGTTCAATTTCATAAGTAAATAAATTGTGTACGAGAAGGGGGCAGACATTGATGTAATCGAGTGCAAGGAGCATACAAATGCAAATGTATTGAGTACGGTAGACATTGAAGTCATGAACCAATCAATGTTCTACGTGGAAACAATGGCCAGTCAGTCAGTCAGATGCAACGTAGAACTTTGTACGTAAAGTACATCAGTTCATGTTGCTATATCACATCATCACAGAGATATGATTGTCAATTCAAATCCCATAATAGTAGCAGAGGTAGTAAAGGTATTAGAAGTAGTCGAAGAGGTTAGGATTAGAAGATATTATTCAAGAAGTATGATTCAGTGAGATAAGTTTAGAAAGTCAAAACTAGCGGTGTTGAAGAATCCAGAAGATTAGGATTTGAGAGAACACAAAGAATAAATGTGGAAACAATGAACTACTTTATGGATTTGTTAAAGCTAGACATCAATTCTGTTAAGTGCCAGCTGCTTATGGTCTAGAGATTTTAAGCATCTACATTCAAAGGTGAAGGTCCTGGGTTCGATTCATACTAAGACAAAATGGCTATCTAATGCTTCTATACTTTCATTGGTGATTAGTTCATCATTTCAACGAAACTGAACAGTGTGTTTTTGCGATTGGATAGAACAAACAAACTAAGTTTTATATGTTTTAAAAGAAATAACGAAAGGTCGATTATGAGTGAAGCAGTCATCAAGTCAGTCAGTAGTATCCAGTACACCAAAAATACCTTTCCTTTTCATTGAGGCAACAACGAACAACTTCTGTCTCTCTGTGTTTCATCTAACAATCACACTATACTGATTGGTGAAGATTCAAGTACCCTGATTTTGTTAGTATAAGTTATTAGAAAAAATTTATGGGAAAAATTCCCAAAAGCCATTAATCAATACTGATTTGTACCAGTCTTAGTCAATCATATTGTGCATTCAATCGTCTGTAGAACATTGTAAACATACACATACTCCTAAGAATGTTTAAATCAAACAGATAAAAGAATCCTCTCAAGTATTTCCTTGTATTTTTTTCAAAAAAAAAAGAGTTGTCTTAGGATTAATACAAAACAGCGAAAGTTAACTCGCACACACTTATTCATTCATTCATTCGAACATGAACACTTTTGTAAATTTCAGTCAAATAATCAATAAATTCGTCACATGACCGTAGTAGTTGTAGTGAATTAATTCAACATAAGCACTGAATGAATGGCTGGCTACATCACATCATATCACACTCTCTTAGTCAGTCATCATTTGTAATGATAGCTGTCACAAGGGATTAATATCATGTCTTCTTGTAGTTATTATTATTATGATTATATTAGCCTCTGACAAAACATCACAACAGGAAATGACTGAATGACTGAATGACTGAATGTTAGAAACAGTATGAAATTCCAAACTAAACAACACCACTATACACACACATACACACAAACATTTTTCAGGGATTATTTTTCCAATCTCCTCTATCCCTTCAATGTAGTAGTAGTAGTAGTAGTAGTAGTAGTTTTGTTAGTAGTATTGATAGTAGTAGAGATAGTACATTATTTAGTTGAAAAAAAAATAGGAAGGAAATAAATAATCTGTGAAGCAAAGGCAACCTAACCAAAAATAAAGAATAAACTTTGCGTATTGATTGAAAAATGTCGTCCGTGAGTGAGTGACATAAGGAAAGTTATATATATATATTTATACTTATTTTGACTGACCTAGTCGTATTGACCTAGAAATCGATCGATTTTTATAAAAATATGAATACATTTCAAAACAAGAGCTCACTACTGTTGATTCCATCCATACTGGTTGGTTGTGGCAGTAATTTATATATATATATATATATATATATATATATATAAATAGGGATTGTTCTTTATTATTGATGTGAATAGTTCTGTTTTTAAAGCATGTCATTCTGTGGTGATTTTCGAAAACAATGGAGTCAGAATTATAACCTGATAGAATATGGAACAAAACCAGCCTATTTCTACACATTTGAAATCATCAGTCAAAACTGCTAGGCCACCATTAGAAACCTGGATGCACTGGAAGGCCGTTTCGTCCTGGTATGAGACTCATCAGCATTGCGCATCCATGACTTTGCAGCTTGCAGGATTCGAACCCGGGACGTTCGCTATTGTGCGCGAATGCCTAACCATTGGACCACTGGGCCGGCACCTGACGGTGTTAATGTCTAACTCTGATTGGTCTAGGGATTTCGCGCAACCTCACCCATTTGTCTTTGGTAGTTACTGCCATACCAGGACGAAACGGCCGTCCGGTGTTTCCAGGTTTCTTCTAATGGTGGTCTAACAATGATTGAATGATGATATCAAATGTGTAAAACAACACAAATCTCCAAAACTCTGCCCGAAAACTTATTTCTTATCGTAGGATATTGATTCTTTGCAAAGTAGTCTGTACAGTATGTAAGTAGTGAATGAAGTTAGGTCAAAGATTAGTGCGTATATAATTTGAATAAAATTGTCAAATCTATGCACTAGTGTCCACCAAATACAAGACCGTGGATTGATCGAAATTAGACATTAACACTGGTGGATGCCTGCTCACTGGAAGCTGAGCATTCGCGCGCGAAACCAAAGGTCCTGGGTGCGATTCCAGGTTGTGGCAGTCGTGGTATGCCTACTGTTGATGAGCTACACACTAGGATGAAACCACTGTTCAGGTGGTCTAACATTCATCAATTCATGGTTTCAATCAAACTATACTATGAGTAAACCTATATTTCCTAGGGATCAGAAAAGAATGATAAAACGGGAACTCTCGTAAGGAACCTTGATCAGTGTACTTTGGTTACGTCTAATGAAGGGTAGTTATCTCCTAATGGGATCGGACGAAAACTTCATTATATCATCACCTGACTGAAGTTAGGAATGCAAATATCTCAGTGGTTTAACTGTCAGGCGCTCACCAACGAATGCTCAAATTCCTTAGTTCCTTCCTCAATAGGGTAGTGTATGCACACTGGCGGATGCTACAAGTCGTTTCTTTGTTGTGTAGTATGGAAGAGTTTGTCAATTTTAGGATAAATTCGAATTCCACCAAAAGCATTTCCGACGTTTCTAAAGAAATTTGACGAGAATTCTGAAATTTTAACAGAAAAACTTAGAAATTTAGAAACTTTCTTAACTGTCAAAAGCGTGCATGCGATTAACGTTTTTCCCGAAAACAAGGGATTAATTCAACAGAAAAAAGATGCATTTTTTTTTATTGATCCCAAAAAGAATTTCCTGTTTTATAATAAAAATAGTTCATCAAACGTGTCTTGAGATGATAATTGTCAAGTCACATTGAAAATCATTAACATAGTTGATTGGAGAATTAGATTTTCAGTCAAAATGTTCTGTCTGATTTTGAGAGCAATTCTCATTAGGAGTTTAACATTATTTCTAAAATCATTGAAAAAGAAGAAAGTATTGTACACAAAGATGAAATTGTCACTTCAAATCTCATGGCAGTAGAGGTAGTAGAAGGATTAGAGATAATCAAAAAGGTTATGGATATCCCAGTGAAATAAATTTAAGAGGAGAAAGATAATCGAGATGAAGAGTTCAGAAGACTAGAATTTGAGATAACGCGAAGAGGTGATGCACTCGAGCCATGTCGTTCAAGATCTCTAACCACTGAAGACTTTCGTCACGTGGACGCAAACCAGGTAACCTACATCTACAAACATGACTCAGTCCACTTGTCAGTGACTTCATGGATTTTTGCCATGTTTTTGGTTTGGCCACTCCTAGCTTTCTTCCAGTCTACTCCTACACTGCAAAACATAGCTCGTCGTGGCATTCGGTGGTTGGCCATACGTAACACATGTCCCAACCACCTCAACTGATGAAGTTTCACTACTTCATCTATTGATCTGCCATCCTTACCTAGTACCCGTTTCCTAACCCCAGCATTACTTACTTAGTGATCCCATGATATGCGAGCAATGGTTTTAAGATACTGATGATCAAACACTAATAACTTACGAATATCCCCAACTCTTACTGGCGGTGTTTCATAGCCATAAAGTAGGGGGGAGAAAACTGCTACGCAGTGGACTCGCCCTTTGTTTAGAAAACGGATATCTCGCTTGTGCAATAAATGACACGAGTCGGCGAAAGCAAATGGAGTGTTCTGTATCACCGGGCCATCAGCGCTGATGAGACTCCCAAGATAAGTGAAGTGGTCTACATGCCTGACTGCTTCACTCCCCATCACTAGTTCAGGTCCTGACGCAACCCAATCTTGAAGCAGCATTTTGC